CAGAGCCTCTCTCTTTACTTTGGCTCCCCCTCGGCGTTCCAGCAGGTGGGGTCTGAAAACACCGCACATTGGCACATGAAAGGAACAGACGCAAATCGCCTGCTCTCACGCAGATCTAGATGTACAGATGTGCGCAGCAAAACTGTTTCCCTGTCTCTACAGAAACCGGTGTGGTATACTCAAGATAATGCGTGAACCTTCATCAGAATACACACAAGCAAAGAAACTGCATGAAAACAAGAGCTAGGAGGAAAAAAAATGAATCAGTACAGGAAGAACAAACGCCGCTGGGTGCAATATACATTTTCAAAGATGTCTGACAGCGTAGCTTTTCATGTTAGGCTGAAGTAAATAACTGGTTAGTGATGTCATCGCTGACATCCATTGAGTTAAATCAGCACAGCTGGAACCCGCTGTACTCCAGAACCCCATACCAAGGCTGAAGATTCCAGAAACGCTGAAATCTTCACAAAGATGTCAAACGATGAACCACTTGATCAATCATGGTTGTAATTTATACTGTACTGAACAGCTTCATTTAACGTTTACACTGACTGAGGTTTATTTCCAGAAAAAAATCACTGTCATAGCATTAAGGCTACTCCTGCCCCTGAGAGCACACTCTGAAGAACAACACCTGAACACGCTATCAGAGTGGAGATCCCCCCCCCGGCCACCCCAATAAAACCACCTGTGTTTTTGTAACAAATCCTACTCTCATTCAACTCACACTTGTGCTTGTGATCTAATTCACACAAAATGAGGTGAGCAATGCAGGCTATTTAATTCTGAAAGCTTTTAGGAACCCACCTCTGGCAATTCAAATTCTACCAATCCACTCTCACAACTGACTAAACTAACAGTGATGGCAAGGACGGGGGCACAAAAGGGAAAGGATGGAGGCAGCTTAAAAGGGTTTGAGAGAAAAGAAAGCATTCATTTTGCTAGATTCAATTAACCTACAGAGTGGGAAGCAATGAAAATTTCCACAGAACTGAAAGAGGGAAAATTAATAACATCTACTTGTTATAATAGTATAACATCTAAATTGATATCATCTAAATTTTATAAGTACTCAACACATGCAAATTAAAAAATGAAAAATGCCAATGCACTAGTTCTTGGGAATGAGCTGAGACTCAGAAATATGGCCTTCATCCCTGTGGGATCCTATCAGGTGCAGCCCTTGTCTTGCTTCCTGATCTTGAACTAATAAAGAGGATGGCAAACCTTTGTCTTCGGACGGATTTATACACTTGTGCAGCCGCCACTGTTTACTGCTGCTGGACACCTGCACGATGTGGAACTCCCTCACGCCAGCCTCATTCTGCACAGAGGAAAGAGTGTGTCATTTCTCATCTCCCTCCCCCCACACACACAGCCCCATCATCTCACATTTTTCTATCTCACTAAGTAGAAATGTGTAATCTCATATTTCTGTGTCTCTTGTACACACCTGCAACACTTCCCCAAACCCCACACACAGTTAAAAAAAAAACTGGGTTCTCACAATCTTCTCCTCAGGCACAGTGCAAACATATAATCGCATACTTCTCTCATACACACATGCATGCAGACACACACGTCCTAGTTACGCAGACAGAAAAAGTGTCACCACACACACATGCACACACGTTCCCCATTCACACATGTAGTTGTTTTCAGCCATTCTTTCTTCCTCACTGGGGACTTACACTGTACCACCATATCCTTCCTGCTAGACTTTCTGAGGACAAACTAAGCCTGAACGGTGAACCAAATTCTTATTAAATGAGATTGAAGGTGATCATTTGCAGTTTGTCTCTAGGTAAGCTTAATTGAGCTTAAGCACACATTAATACTGTATGTCTTCACCCCAGAAAAACAACTACACATCCAACCTTTTGGATGTTTGAAATGCTTTGAGGTGTTTCAAGCGCTTTGAACATGGATTAAAGCAAAAAACATGCCCCTTTGGGAGGGAAATACAGACCAAAATCTTTGGTCTATGTAAAAGGCAGCGGGGGTGGGGTGGGGGCTGGTTCTTACTAAATCCTTCTATTAAACAAACACCCCAATTCTACAAAAACCCTTTAGAAGTGCGTAACAAAGATCGCTAACAAAGCTCCCTACAGGAATGAAACAGCTGTTTTGTAAAATATTTGTGTGCAGCTGAAGCACGTCAATAAAGAGCTAAGATACATTACATTACATTATTGTCATTTAGCGGACGCTCATATCCAGAGCGACTTACAAAGGTTACAGTTTTACGTGTGATCCACTTACACAGCTGAATGTTTACTGAGGCGACTGTGGATTAAGTACCTTTCCTTAGGGTACAACAACAGCCGCTCAGTGGGGAATCGAACCAGCATCATTTGCGAGCCCTGCTCCTAACCACCACACCACACTGCTGCCCTGTATACGCTGTTCACTGTGTAGGAACAGAAAGGGAAGCAGCGGGGCTGGAGCTGGCCGGCTGAGCGCGGCGCGATACGGTGCGGTGCGCGAGCTCACAGTGTTGATGTTCTCCACGTCCACGAAGACGAGCATGCTCCCGTTGCGGCCGTCCTCGCGCTCCTGGAAGGTGTTGCTCCGCCGCGCCGTGGCCCGCACGCTCAGGGAGCGGCTCGCGCAGATGATCGCCGTGTGCCGCAGCACTCGATGGCTGAGCGCCGCCGACAGAGGAAAGGGGGGGAAAAAGAAAAGAAATGTTACGGGGAAATAATATTTCTAATGCGCGCGGGTTTATTTTTAAATACGGTACTCTCATTCTCTTTCTAAAAGTCTCTTCAGAAACTCTTCTGCACAGCTGAAAGCAGTTACAAGCTACAGTTACAAAATGCGAAGAAACTCAGCTTCATAGATGAGCTAAGAATAAACTTATATTTGTATCAGGGAATTTTATAAGACCTTTTCTTAGCCAGGTCAACTGATGGATTTTCCTCCACATCTGGCAACCTGGAACAACCTACACTGATATGCACGTCCTTTGCACATTGTATTTTTCTCCCTGAGTACACATTTCATAAATGTGTCTTTTGGATTCCATCATCTAGTGACTGATGAATCTTAGTATGCTTGGCTTCCCTTGTCTAGTCAGGTTTCACAAGTTAACTTGCAGCAGGGCATGGATAGTGTTATGCTCACACTCATTGGTCTGGGAGTGTCGTCAGCCTCGTCTGACACTGTTGCTCATTCAGCTTGAATGGATACACTTCTGTTCTTTTGTGCTGGAAGTCGCTCTGGATAAGAGCGTCTGGTAAATGAGTGTAAGGTCATATATTGTGTTGTGCACGGTCCCTGCTAAATACACTAATAAACTAAACTATTGAGCTACGGCATAGACAGACAAAGGCCGTCCGTTCCCTACCTCAGTTTCGACGTCTTCTCCGTGCTCTCGTAGTAAAACAGGAAGTTGATCTCGTGCACACCCTCCCTGTCGGGGCCGCGCAGCCACATGGGCAGCTGGACGGAGGCCCCCGGCTGGAGCACCGAGTCCGGCAGCGGGATGTCCACCACGCCCGGGCACAGCCCGTCGCTGCCCGCCCCGAAGTCGGCCGGGGACACCAGCGTGGCAGCGGCCGCCCCGCCGTCGGAGGCGGGGCCCGTGGCCACCGTCTTGTAGGCGCTGCAGTTCTCGGACGCGGTGGGGCTCAGCGGGGTGAGCGTGGACGCGTGGCTGCCGAAGGTGAAGAACTCCGGGTGCTTGGACACCACCCTGAGGCCCGTCAGGGGCACCTGGCTGACGTTGACAAACTCCACGTAGGCCTTCCTGATCTCCCCGCAGAGCAGGCCGGTTGGGAAGTTAATGAAGAACACCTTAAGATAACAGAGCGGGTGGAGAAGCAATTAAACCTCAGAGGACAGAAAACTGTCTCACTTTCATTTTTTTTTTTTTTTTTTTTAAATTTCATGATTCATTACAATGAATATGAGAATCATTAATCAAATTACATGCATGTTTTTTTCCCCCCAATACCCATTCAGCTTCTAATTTCATTTAAATGTTAACATCTGTGGGGGGAAAAAAGGGATCCAATCAGACCATACTTCTTTCTTCTTTGAATTCTCTCCCTTAGGGCCAATTAATTTTTCCCATAATTCTCTCTGCTCTCCATTCAGCCACACCCATATCCAGGGCTGAGCCAGCATGTATTCAACATGAATTTCACCTCTTTGACTTCTGACACCCGAAATCAAAGACACAGACATAGAAAAGGAGATTCTGGAGGCAGTAAGGCAGTAAGGAGGGAGGGGCGCGGAGCTTACCTCCAGCAGGGGCATGGGTGGAGTGATGATGGGGTCCAGGCGTCGATCAGGCCCATGCCGCACGGAGGTCTTCTCCTCTTTGGTGTTGTTTAGGCGAGGGCCCTGGATCTCCAGGTCCTGACGACCACGCACCATCATCCCATCACTGACTGGGTTTCCTGTGGACCCACAGGATTAGGGTTAGTGAAACCATTAAACTGCCACTGGACATTACACTCGCTGCTCAGCAGGTGTCTTTTTCTAGGGTAAAATCACAAGGTTTACATTGTGGGTGTGTGTGTCACATCCTGTGCTGTACATTCTATATCTCGCTGTAGGTGGACCTTTTCTGTTACATTACATTCATTTAGCAGATGTTCTTATCCAGCATATCCATATAAAAGCATATCCAGATGAGTTTCTCTAATTGAAATACTGGCTTATTTGGTTTGTAGTTGTCAGAATGAGGCGTTTACCTGACACATGGATACTGAGGTTAACATCACAACATTAATGTGAATGTAAATACAACCACTGATTTTGAAATTTTCACCTTTGCATTAAGCTCGTCTAACCATCACATCTTCTACACTGACCCAGCCAAAAGTCTATTTTTCACACTACATTACACTACATTCTTTGCATTTAGCAGACCCTCTTATCAAGAGGAACTTCCACAGGTTACAGTTTTTACATGTTACCAATTTACACAGCCTGGAATTTGAGCCAATTCTGGGTTAAGTACTTTGCACTGGGGTACAGCAGCAGTGCCCCAGTGGGGAATCGAACCTGCAAACTTACGGTTGGGGGCCCTTCTCCATACCACTATGCTACACTGCCAGTGGGACAGCGGTGCAGCACAGTTGTAAGGAGCAGCGCCCAGTACCCCAGTGCCACACACAACAAAACCCAGAATGCACCACAGGAGGGTGAATACTAATTGAAGAGGCGCATCACTAATCAACTCGTGGGAATATGATGAGGGGAACCTGCCAGACATAGCCCCCCGCCCATCAGTGTATTGGAGCCCATTAGGTTCTGATGCAACAGACTCACTGCAGACAGACTTTAATGGGAGCAATGGCAATAAACTGCCTCAGTTGAGGGTACCTCCCCACCAAGGATATGAAAGGATGACTGTCCTTACACATACATTTGGCATCCAGAACTCCAGCCACTACACACTGTGGTCAATCAAAGTTCAACAAAACATGCAGGAAAAGCTGATGTCACAACACCCCGCCTGCTTCAGCAGGACTGTTCTCACCTTCAGCAGAAGAGGGAGTTGTGCCGAGGTTGTAGACGACCCCCAGAATGTGTAGCTCACCAGTCTGGTGCGGTAGCAGCTTCAAGCGAGCCTAAGAGGAGAGAGGGGGGGCATGTACACCTGAGAACTACCCTCAAGCATCAACTGTACACACAAACAGGTGGAACCAAGACAACTTTCTGATCACAGAGGAAGCATTCATTATCAGATAAGCTACTGCGTTCATTATCATCATTATTATAATTACTTTTATTGGCAGCTTATCAAGGCCAACACCCCTTCCATTTCTCACGTCATTCACTCATACAAATGCAGAAATGTCAGGCAAGTGCCTTGATCTAATGGGAGTCTGCGGCGTTATTAACACCAGAATGGGCAGGGCTATCACGCATTACAAGTGACTCAATGAATTGAACCAATTGATCAAAGTGGGAGAAGGATGAATTTAGACTGCTTCTAAGTCAGTGATTGACAGTGATTTACCCATTACAGTGTTCATGAAGCCTCACTTCCAGCACTACTACCTTGTAGTTGCATTGTGGGGGGTATCATTACATCTCATTACTGTCATTTAGCAGATGCTCTTACCCAGAGCGACTTACATAGATTACAGTTTATAGATGATATCCATTTATACAGCTGGAACATTTACTGAGGCAATTTTGGATTAAGTACCTTGCCCAAGGGTACAGCAGCAGTGCCCCAGAGGGGAACTGAACCTGCAATCTGCTCTTAACCACTGTGCTACAGTGCCACCCCACTACTGTATTATACTATCATGCTCTGTGTTTGGTACAGTCAGCTGAACAATATTCCATAGATTTCTCCCTCACGTATTTTTCCTATGCCCCCACTCCCTGCAGAATTTTGTTAACAAACAGTGTAACTACTAAAACTTACTTGTAGCATAAAAAGTATTCTTTCAGAAAAAATTCTTTCAGAGAGTGGCCTTTGCTCCTGCCCAAGACTGCAGTGTCATTAAACCAATGGATGAATTCTAGATTGATTAAAACGATCAGACAGTGGAAAATAACTGTCCATTCTCTTATCCAATCACGACGTGCCACCTGATACTTACCACTTTAGTCTCCTCCAGGCTCATGAAAAACTCCGCTATTACTTCAGTGGTGATGAATTCATTTTTGAAGGCTGTCCCCTGCGAGAGGTACCAAAAAAAATAATGCCCATAAGAAATCTTTCAAACAATTGATTCATTCCCAGGTACACAGATCGAGGCCATCTGTATCGATCCTGTTTCTTGGGGCACAGCATTTGAAATTACGCATGGTTTTGCGAGGTGAGTTATGTGGTGCTCCCACAGGCCGAAGAAAGGTTATTACTGTCTCATATACAGTACCAGTCAAAAGTTTGGACACACCTGATTAAGATAATGGGAAACACGCATTTAAAAGCATTTTGATCTAAAGACGTACGATTAAATGCTTGACATTTGTTTCCTAGACATAAATAGTGAAATTGATGCCCATGTATGAATTTCTTTCCAAAAAAAATTTATTTTTAAAAAATATTTTTTGGCTACTTTACAGAATCTAAAATGTAAGATGATTTTGGTCACTTTTTGGTCACTGCACAATTCCATTTGTGTTATTTCATAGTTTTGATGCCTTTACTATTATTCTAAAATATAGAAAATAGTAAAAAATAAAGAATAAAAGTTGTGTCCAAACTTTTGACTGGTACTGTATACCTACAAGCTGATTAACACTAGCCCACGTTAGTAGCTACACAGCCTGGAGTCTGCATTTCAAGGCAAGGTTTCTGGGCTGAATGGGTCTTCACCTTCAACATGTGGGCGTCCTTCTCGTTGCTCACGGTCTCTCCCAGCTCTCTGCCCTGCGGTCGGACGAAGTCTTTGGGGGTGAACTTCCACAGCAGGGAGAGGTCAGTGAGGAGGAGGGGGACCTTCAGAGGGTTTCTAAACACAACCTCGACGATGATGGGTTCTGGACGGTGGGAAGGAAGGACAGAAAGGGGCAGCGTTGAACATTTGAATACCGTACACTTGTCTGAATCACAACAGAGGAGGAGGAATCAGTACTTCATAAATGGCTCTGTTAGCCGGGGCATCTACCAGTCACAGGACAACCCAATATTAAGTCCTTTTTATGTCTTTCTTTCTCCCAGCCTTGCTTAATTCAAGTGTAAATTGTCCCAGTGTGTGCCTTCCCACACTCACTTGAGGAAGTCAATGACGGAAACTAAAAGCCATATAATGGCAATTGACATTTCCAATGTTTTTCGACATTTGAATGTTTAATGCAGATCTTTCATCAGAAAGTCAAGGGTTCAGACTGCTTACTCTTTAAGAGGCTTTGCTTCCATTGGATCCAGTCGAATAAACTGGAAATATCAGAGGCTTTTACTGGTGAATACCTGTGGTATCACTCATCCAAAGTGACCCCCCCTCGCCAAAATCAAGTACTGCTAAAACCAAAATTTTGAGTTATTCAGTACTGTACATGACACCAGTGATACAACTCGTTATTAATAAAAAAATCACATTGTAGATAAATATGCATTGCAATGTTCTTGCATGTTTCATCAGTCCTAGTAACCTAGTAATGCATTGTCACACTCTTTTTGCACATTTTGCATCGTCTTGCCAAAAAAATTGAATAACTATGCTCATGACAATGTTTTTTTTTTTTTCAACATTCACAAAAACCAACAGCTATGTGTGCTGTAAAAGCCACATGAATGTATTTTAAGCCACATGAAGTTTGCTTAAAATACTCACCCCATATTAACAGAAAATAACAGGTTATAATAGGTTTTTGACGCACATATTGGTCATTTTATGTTCGAGTCAAAAAATGTTACGAGTCCAGGTAAACACATCACTTTAAATAATACCACGTATTTGATCATTTGTCCTACGCCTCTACAATAGGAAGCTTTGTTTTGCAAAATCCCAGAATCCTTTCTTTCTGTGATATCATGGCAGAATCCAAAAAGTGCTGTACACTTCACCCAGCATTGTCCCCCAAAGCATAGTTACAGCTTAGTTTTTGAACGGCTTGGGAATTCTCAAAAAACAGTAAAATTTTTCCCAAAATCAAGTTGACCAGAGATGTGTCTAGAGAGCTATTGAACATTGATGTACCTCGCTACTTCTATGCAGAGTGGGCCCGTAGAGCCCCACAGATCATGCCAAACTTTCCATTTTCCATTCATCAAACTTTCCATTTGCAATTTCCGGAGTGCACCAGCAAGACTCAAGGACTCGGTTGCATTTCGAGCCAAATCACTACTAAAATATTAAACTAAATCTTTTTTCATTTCAAGATGTATATCATTTAAAGATCATATATGTATCAAAACTACATTACATGGTTTGTTTAATTTAACACCACTTTAAATAGGCCTCATAAATGGCTACTAAATAATGTATAAAGTTCCACTGAAAAAACAGATGATAGATAAAACACATTGTGAACAGTAAAACAGAGTAGGAGACACAGTAAGATTAAATCTCCTCTGATGTGCCAATACCCATTGACCTCTGGGTGATGGCACTATGGTTCCTATCTTTAAATCACATACACAAACCTAAGAACCCTGTGAACTGCAACTGAAGCTGGCATGTGGGAGAGGAGGACACCTTTGGAAATTTAAACCTAACTGCTGTGCCCCTTCCCTGCCCACGAACCTCCACTCATTCCCCAACCTGGCCCAAAAATCTCAGGGTTAATTGTAAGGAGTGAGCTGTACAAGGACATTGTAAGGAGGTCAAGCAACTGCTTGGAAAGGAGGCCACCCTTTGTGGCATCATTAACAGCCCTTTTAAAATACTAAAAAGAAAAATCCCGATGTGACTTATAAAGTAAACAATCTTTCCATGAAGTATTCCTGACATATTGAGTTTCTTTTGACTAAACGCAGACTCTCTTAGCTCAAGGGCAAAGTGCCTTTGATACCGAAATGAATAAAGATGTTGGAGGTGGGCACAGACACACCACTGCTGCATTTACAGGTTTTCCTCAGACCAACAATGACATGCAAAACCAAACATGATGAAGTATCCATATAATGTCTTTAGGTTCTGAAGCATATATGTACTGGTATGCAATAAAATACTTTATACAAGTAGATTTAGGGTATTGTAAGTTAGTGTATTGTAGTAGTAGCAAGGTCTGAGATTACAAATAGAATAGCTTTAACAACTGATTATTCTGACATGAAAAAAATGTTAAGTTAAAGGACATTTTCAAGACGGAATTATTTTACACCAATTAATATATGAAACACGAAACACAGAAACAAAAAGCAGATCTTGATTGGATGGATGTTCTAACATTAAAAAAAGCTTACCTTCCACAACAGCCAGAGGGAAACGCATATTGTCGGTCTGGCTGTTTAGGCAGTACTGGGTGGGCTGAAAGTTGACAGGGACGACCCCTCTGTTAACAATGGCCACCACCTGCTCCTCCAGCTCCTTCCACTGCTGGGAGAGGTCCCGGTCATACTCCTGGTCCAGACTGACGTGGGTGGCAGCCTGCTTCTCTCCTACGGTTAGAGAGATGCGTGCAATGTGAAACGTACATCATTACAT